TAATGAGCTATTTTTTTCTGTATGATGAATTTAGAAAGACTGTTTAAACCTAAATGTATATTAAAATAAGGAAATGAATTTGAGATAATTTTTTATGTAATGCACCTACATACATGTGTACAAGAAACTCTGGCGTAACTGGTTTTTAATATTTTTTAATCATGCTTTCTATAATGTTCTTAAAATTTCATTTCTTATGTCTTCTGCTTGTGAGTTGTCAACAGGTTCCACTTCAACGTCTCCGACATCATCGTCATAAGTCACATTTGAAAACTCCTCCTCATCGGGGATTTGTACATTATAAAACAAGCAAATGTTGTGCAAAGCTGCACACACATTTATAATTTGTGTTGCTTTTTTTGGAATATAGTGGAGCTCTTCACCTGCCTGCAACAAACATCTAAACCTATTCTTCAAAACTCCAATTGTTCGCTCAATGATACTTCCTCCTTTGGCATGTTGTTTGTTATATGCCCTTTGTAGAGATCCTTCCTCAGAATTTCTGAACGGCGTCATTAAGTAAGGTTTCAGAGCGTATCCAGCATCACCTAAGGCGGAGAAAATTATAAAAAAGGAAATACATGTTGGCTTAGTTTTGATTACATACCAAGTAGCCAAGTATTTCGAAGACCATTAAGATGTTGCTGCTCTAAATGTATTTTCAGTGACGACATATTAAAAACCATAGAATCATGTGTCGCTCCCGGATTTTTGGCATTTATGTATCGAATTTTCATTGTATGATCACAGACCTGAAAATTACATAAGCATACACATTTAGAATCAGAAGTTAATAACACATGTATATATGTACACTAACAACCATAGCATTAATGCTGAAGAATCCCTTTCTGTTATAATACAAATGCTGCAGTTCCTTCCTAGGTGCGACAATTTTAATGTGTGTGCCATCAACCCGATTATTCCTGGAATTCTACTTTTGTTATAAAAATGTGATTTTGCTTGTTGCAGTTCAGCCTCTGTGTAATTGAATTTTATCCATCTTTGGCAAATAAAACTTTCCAGAACATCTAGCACTTCTGATAGCACCACAGACACCGTGGGCTGTGCAAGTCCAAGCATATTTTCATTGCCAATGCTAAGTTGGTACGATCCCTGAGCACAAAATCGCAGAACTGTTGCTAGCTTTAAAACATGCGGAATAGATTTCGCTCGGGTGCATTGATTCAGCAGGTCTTCTGTAGTGGTCAGCAGGTCCACAAACACCTCTTTAGATACTCGGAAGTTTTTTATAAATCTGTAAACAAATTTCCTAAATGTTACATATGTATGTCAAAACCTTTTTGGAAGGCCACACTTACGCAGTGGAATCAATTTCTAAGGGGTTGGAAGCGTCCCTCAACCGTTTCCTATTTCTGGCCAGCTCCACTAAGCTTTCATCTTCTGATGAATCGCCAAACCACAACTCCGTCGTACTCATTTTCATTAAGTTCTTATCAACTCGTTTTCTTTTTAATTTATTTTTATTTAGACAAATTTGTAAACTATTTAGTTTTACGTTTTAATCAACTCGGTTTTTCTTTCTCAGCTGACAGAAATATACTATTGTGAACAATCTAAACGAGCGAAATTCACAATAGCGCTATTCTTCATCGAATGAGCGCCATAATACCAAATGAAAATTCGTTCGCTCATAATAGACGACCAGTCGAAAATCGAATGCAACTCATAATAGGGGCCTTAGTTATAATAACCAAGATTTGGTTACAGTGATCAAGTGGCATAGTTGGATATGGCGAAATAANTTTAAACGCCCGATCTGGCTGGTTTAAACTAAGATCAGCCAATCAAATGCCAGCCAGCTGTTCAATTTAAACTCAGTTTACTTAATCTAAGTTTAAACTGGCACTGAAAAACCGGCCTTTAACGTTTTCTGTTCCTGGCCAATGTTCTATGCTCTCATCCTCTGACGAATCGTTCAACCAGAACTCCGTTGTACTCATTTTTACCACGTTTTTATAAACCCGCTTTCCTTTATATATCGTTTTTATTTGCACAAATTTACATAAATATGTATAAGCACACTATTTAGTTTGCTCGATTTGTAAACAAAGCTTCTCAGCGGTGAAAAATATACTATTGTGAACAACCTAAACGAGCGAAATTCACAATAGCGCTATTCTTCATCGAATGAGCGCCATAATACCAAATGAAAATTCGTTCGATCAGCACTTCCGACCACAGTCGAAGATCGAATGAAACTCATAATAGGGGCCAATGTCTGAGCCTTTAACAACTCCATTCAACTTGTCACTAAAACATGGGGTTTTTCGTCAGCTTGTAAAGAATCTTTCATAATACCACTTCACACAAACGGCAGCAAGTCCTCTATAGAAAACTATCGAGGCATAGCGAAGCCCTCCGCTATCCCCAAATTATTCGAAGCAATTATTGTTAATCAGCTGACATATTCTATATCTTCTTCAATTTCACAATCTCAGCGCGGGTTTTCTAAAGAAAAATCTATTAGCACTAATTTATTGGAGTTTACAACTTATGTCTCAAACGATTTTAGAGAAAATGCTCATACCGACGTAATATACACCTATTTCAGTAAAGCTTTTGACAATGTATGTCACTCGTTACTCATCCGTAAACTCGACCTAATCGGTTTTCAGCAGTCTTCTTCAATGGATCTCTTCTTACCTCTCCGATAGAACACAAAGAGTTATTTTTAAAAATTGTTCTTCCAGCATCCAGTTTCTTCAGGAGTTCCTTAGGGAAGCCCTCTTGGTCCAATTCTGTTCCTGATATGCATTAATGATATTTCTTCTATAATAAAATATTCTAAAATTTTAATTTATGCCGATGATGTGAAACTTTTTAAAATATTGTCCTCTATCGAAGAAAGGTCTTTGTTACAAGCGGATCTGGGCAACGTGGTTAGTTGGTGTAATGCAAATTATATGCCACTTAACCCTAAACAATGTAAAGTTATGTGTTCCTCTCGAAGGGCAGTTCAACCAGCTGTTTATTCAATTTCAAATTATAATCTGGTGCAGGTATCTAATTTTGTCGATCTTGGTATCACAATAGATTCCAAACTCAGTTGCAACCTTCATATTAATATTACAGTCAATAAAGCCAAAGGTGTTTTTGCATTTGTAAAGCGATGGTCAAAAGAGTTCAAAGATCCTTATGTTACAAAAGCTCACTTTAGTTAAACCTAAACAAGAATACTGATCTATTGTTTGGAATCCCCGGTATCAAGTTTATTCAGATAGGATTGAATTAATTCAAAAATAATTCTTGCTTTTTGCATTGCGTGATTTTAACTGGGATTCATACTACAATCTCCTCCTTACACTAGTCGTCTAAAGCTCATAAATTTGCCTACACTCGCAAGTCATAGAGAAATGCCAGGTATAATATTTATCGTAAAATTAATGAGAGGCTTGATTAATAGCCCGGCCCTTCTGGCTGAGGTAAATTTTAATGTTCCCTCTCGAGTGTCAAGACTCTTTCGACCTCCATTTTTGAAGCCATGCAAACCTAATTTTGAACTAAACGAATCATTCCGTTGTTTATGTCGAGATTTTAACTCTGATTCCGGCACGTTTGCTATAAAGAAAACTATCAGTTTCCCTCTCAATAATTAAAATACTATCTTTAGCATATTCTGTAGCTGAATAGTTTTAGATCTCAACACTTGCCAAACTTCTATTTCCACGACTCGGCATGCGGACTGCGCCCTTTGTGTCGGTTGGGCGGGAATGGAGGGTAAAAGCCGTTGGGAATAATTAATTAATTTTGACTTGTTACATTTAGTTCAGTAAATTGTTATTTCCTGTTATTATGATAAAAATGTTTTCCAAACAAACTGGTGGATTGGGAGCTATATGTGAAATTAAAAAATTTCTCAAAAACTTGCATTTGACTGTAAATTCCGCCTTCAAGAAAAATTTCTATTTCCAGCTTGTTTGAATTCTCGCTTAACGACATTTAGCTAAAAATTTAGAAGTTATAAGTTATTTTTAGTACAGTCAAGTTATTGTTGAAAATTAGTCATCGGCATGGTTGTCAATTTACTTTGAATGCTAAGAGAAGGGTTGCTCGGGATGTAAAAGTTGATTTTTTCGCATTAAAGTTAACTACTACAGGTCGGAAAACTTTTTAAAATTTTAAAATTACTTGGTGTTATTAAATGCACGTTTATGTAGATACAAAACTAATTTTTCAAAGTGACAAAAATAAAGGAAAATTTCTTGCTTGGATGATGAGCAGCCAACTGTTAAAAATGTTATTATAGCTCGTACATATATAAAAAATGTTCTTTAAACTTACGAATACTTTTGGGAAAAGGTATCCAAATTTACACTGAGGAAAAAATCGAAGTATCCCTCCAAATTTAAGGCGAAAATTTATCCAATTGGATACATATGTATCAAAGCGGCAGCACTGTTTAGGAGCAGTAAACGAGATTACCCCTACGTCCTATAGCGTCATCTGTCAGTGTCCCGTGTTATGGTCTGTCAAAATTTATTGGAAAATTCTTAGGTGACTTAACGTCGGAGGAATACAACATACGAAACTCATTGAGACTGAAAGAAAGATTAGAGAAGGTGCGTATATGTGAAGAGGACTTATTAGTATCATTTGACGTGGTGTCATTATTCACCAACATTCCCACATATCTATATATGTGCAAATTCAGTCAAATTATGTCTAGAACAAACATACCAAAAACAAGTTTTTGGATCTCTTAAACTTCTGTCTTAAAGATAACAATTATTTCATGTACGATGGCAAAATCTACACATAAAGTTTTGGGATGCCGATGGGTAATCCCCTCTCCCCGACTATAGCAGATATAATCATGGACGACTTATTGGATAATACAATCTCGGGATGAAAGAAACTTCACAACATTGACATCTAATTCATAGTTAAGTACGTGGACGACATCTTCGCGATAGTGAAACGAATCGACGTAGATATTATTCTGAAAACAGTAAACCGGTACCACAACAAGCTGCAATTTACTATTGAAAGCGAGGAAAATATCAAGATCCCCTTTTTAGACGACCTCATCCATAGAAAAAATTACGAAATATTACTTGACTGGTACTCCAAGCCTATATCGTCTGGACGAATAATAAATTTTCTGTCCTCGCAACCCATGAAATATAAAATTAACGCAGCAAAAAATTTGATAAATAAAATACTGACCATAAGCACAAACAATTTTTAGATGAAAATACAAAGAAAATCTACAAAATCCTCACAAACAACAATTACCCCAGTCACCTTATAAAAACTCTAATAGAACAAAAATTAACAGAAGTAAACAACAAAGAAAATAAAATAACACCCACCGCAACAACAACTGAAACAAAACAATACTTTAGCGTTACATACATACCTAAGTTGACGGACAAATTCAACCACAACATAAACGAACATAAGAAAAACATAACTCTGGCGTACAAGTCAAATTGCACACTGTCCACAATCTTCACAAAAACTAAAAGTCCTATCGAAACCTACCAACAAAGCAACGTGGTGTATGAAGTGAAATGCATGGGAGGAGAAAATGTAGACTGCAACTAAATATATATAGGTACAACGAAAAGAACACTGGGAATCCGTTTAGCAGAACACGAAGAGGACATAAGAAAGGAAAAGAAAAACACAGCACTCGCACAACATATGATAGAAAACAGTCACACAGCTGATCTTGCAAACCAAGAATGATAGAATACAAGATTGCGCATTCCTGCGGGTGATGACGTCAAGATAGCAACGAATAGGAAAGAGTAATTGGAGATGGAGGAGAGAAAGAGTGTTAACCGTCAAACTATGGAGGTCGCCATATTTACATGCATATAAACATCTCTGCATACATACAAACAGTTTGCTAAAATAACGTCACACGAACAACTGATTCTGTCAAATTCGCCAAGAGCAAAGTAGCCGTACTGCTGATTGCGCCACCTCTGTCTCCCTACATCGTGTTGCAAACGCAAGAATAATAGATGTTGAAAAGAGAGAGAGGACAAGATACACACTAGAGAGCCTTCGCATATTAGAGAATAGAAAAAGAACGATGAATACAAAAGAAGACACATTATGTTTCCCTGCAAAAATCGCGACTACTCCATGCATGCGTGTAAAGAGTACTCCCTAAGGACCAAGGAGTACTCCAAAATTAACCACAATTCATATAAAAAATATGGTCCAATTAACATTGCGATGTCCTAGGGCAGGACCATATACTCCATCCCCGCATTACATCAGAGTAGCACAAAACTACTCGAACATATTAACAATGGCATTATTGCTATATTTTTTCCTTTGTACACGCTTTTGTTTTTCACTTCTCAAATACTTTTTCGAAATTAATAAAAACCAAGACAAAAATTAAATATTATATGTTGCCTCTGACGGTATTCGAACCCGAACATGCTGGGAGCTAAGAACTAACAGCGAGCATCTCTACACGTTCAGCTACAGCCAGACATGCAAATGTGCTTTCAAATGCTCAACTTCAATCACGTTTCGTTAAAACACGAGCAGTGATCGGATAACAAACAATAAGCTGGCGCAGAGACACGAGTTGGTCCGCTACAGCATGACAGAGGAACACTTTTGTAAGTACTCCAATTTACCACAAATAGACTACATGATCCAACGATTTTTGCAGGGATATTCTAAATTTCAGTTTAAGGTTTTATTAAATTTGCTTTAAGGGTATATGCATTTTGAATAATACTATTATTTAAAATTCTTATTTTCATAAACATTCTGGACCGGAAAAACAATCTTTTAACTTTAACGTCGCAGTCCACTTCACATGCTATCTCAACGTGTTGTTTTATGAAGGCATCGGTAATCAATAAGCCATCTCCATTAAGGGCCGGTTACTCAATGTCTGGTTAACACTAATCTGCGGTTAAACATCGTTATCGACGTTTACGACTCCATGCATATAACAGGGAGTCGGTAACGTCGATAACTATGTTTAGCCGGAGATTAGTGTTAACCAGACATTGAGTAACCGGCCCTTAGTGATTTAAATATTTTTTCAAGTTCGTTCAAATCACTTAAAAGTTTGTTATTGGGCTTTATTAAACCGCCTTCACTAAGGTGGTTTACCCAAGTGAACGTCCCATCTGGGCGCTACAATTTCAGACACATCATTTTTTAGACGACGACAAATGTATCCCGCAAGATTTTCTAAAGCATCGTATTCAAGAGACTGCAATTCTTTGTCCTTGCCTTCGTCATTCTCAGGTAGCGTGGGGCCAATTTTAGAAAACAATTTTCCTACGAGCAAATGTAGCATGTACAAATTTGTAAAATAAGCAACAAAAAAATGAGTAAGGAAAGTATCTGTTAATGGAGGATTTGTTTTTTCTATGTCCGGGGTATCGTCTTCCTCTACATTCGCGCTGTTGGATAAAACGCCAAGATTGTTACCCAATAGGTAGCTGCGTAGCCTATATTTGAATTCTTGGCGATCTGGGTGTTCGTGTAAACCCCCCTTTGAACGTATTATGCCAAAAAATTCTCCAGGACGTGATTTAGACGGTACGTTAAAATGTACTTCACATTAAAACGCTTTTGCAAGTCTGCATACAACAATTTTAGTGCCCTATTTGATTGAAGTATGCCTACAAAATGGAAATCTAGAAATTAATTTATTTATTTATTATAACTTGGTTTTGAACTTGCCTTTTTGAAATGGGAGCAATGCCATCCTATTTCCCGCTATCATATTTGCTACCAACTCACTCATTTCGTCTATAATTTTATTTTGTACTTGGAGAGCAAGGCCATATGCATGCACTCGTTCTCTGGAATCTGTATATGGGACGCGCGTGTTCATCACATCGAACCAATCGTTGACCTGTTAATATAAATGTATATATACATAAACGTCAAGTGTAAGTTTGTATATTATAAAAGCCTTACAGTTTTGAAAAGTTTGTGACATTCCCGCCAATTTCTCCCGTTCAAGAACCCCATGCTTGCAGCTCTTGTTATTGCCTGAGCAATCGTGTGGGAAAATAGCTTCGTCGCCATTTTCACATTTTGTCGCTCACAACCACCAACTAGTAAATGGCTGCTGCTTATCTTGTGCGTGATTCGTAAATCTGTTGAAGTGCAAGATAGTAGATCAACAATGATATCTTTTTGCACCACCCAAATCGGTGACCATAGCAGCAACAGTAAAACCACACGTTTTTACGGACTTTAAAATGTCTTCTACAATTTCTACAGATAGTTGGCAGTCAAAATTGTAATAGAGAGGTTGTTTCCATTTTGATATTAGTCCTTTGTAAATTGACATAAAAATTAAGATGGTTAAAAGTCGAAGCTCAAATTTTCACATACATACCTCTGAGCAATCCAACTTGTACATAATTCACAGGGCTTAAGGCTCTGTTATGCATACTTGGCATTGCTTGAGAGTTGTCACATAAGGAATCCGTTAAATGAGCTTCGCGTGTAAGCTGTTACCCAACGCACAGCATTACCTACGTAGAAGTCTGTTGGTTTTTGATTTCTACGTAAAAATGGTATAGCAGTGCATGCACTGCCAAGTATGCATAACAGAGCCTTTAGCGTTGTGTCAGTCGATTTGTCATAGCAGTATGCTCTACGAATTTTCATTTCGTCTAGGCTTAGTACACAAATCTTTTACTAATCAGTCATCTCTTTCGTTGCCGCTAAGATTTTAATAATTGGTTGTATTATACCCGGAGAAATATTAATTTTGGTTGCCCAATGTTGAAGGGTTCGAATAGCAGGTAATTGCTTTTTTTAAAGGAGCCTATAACCCTTTGCGCTTGCTGAATACAGTGTTATGGAGTTTGCTATATCATTTTCTGACCAAATTTGCCGTTTTTAAATTTTTTATTTGCCCTTTGGTAAAAATTCCCAAAAGCTTCTCCTCCATATTTGCTTTTTCTAACTCAGCTCTTGCTAATTTTTACACTTTTATTTTTTCATAAATATGCTTTCGTTCCGAGTGTCGCAACTGCTGCTCAAGTAAAAATTTCAATCGCTTTAAGGGCCGGTTGTTCAATGTCTGGTTATCACTACTTGCCCGTTAGACATCATTATCGACGATTTCGACATCATGCGTTTAACATGTGTTCGATAAAGCAGTCGTTGTATCTAACCGGGCTTCTACCTCCGATTTGTGCTAATCAGACATTGAACAACCGGCCCTAATTTGTGTCTGATAATATAAAGTAATACATAAACATGATAAATAAACTGCAACCATTAGTGATTAGTGAGTTAAACTTACATCTGATTTTTCAATAATTTAAGTTCAGCTGAATTGTCTTCAACATTACCATTGCTTGTTATGATCGGGTTGTAAACTGTTGTGGGCGATGTCTGTGTACCTGTCTCGCATGTTTTGGTTGCGGCTGCTACGCCTGCGTGAGATGTGCGCTGCTTGGAAAGAGCACTCGATGGTCGCATACCTACTTCTATTTTGCATGCATTTGTTGCGGCTACTACAGCTGCGTCTGGGGTGAGCGGCTTGGAAAGAGCACTCGATGGTCGCATACCTACTTCTATTTTGCATGCATTTGTTGCGGCTACTACAGCTGCGTCTGGGGTGAGCGGCTTGGAAAGAGCACTCGATGGTCGCATACCTACTTCTATTTTGCATGCATTTGTTGCGGCTACTACAGCTGCGTCTGGGGTGAGCGGCTTGGAAAGAGCACTCGATGGTCGCATACCTACTTCTATTTTGCATGCATTTGTTGCGGCTACTACAGCTGCGTCTGGGGTGAGCGGCTTGGAAAGAGCACTCGATGGTCGCATACCTACTTCTATTTTGCATGCATTTGTTGCGGCTACTACAGCTGCGTCTGGGGTGAGCGGCTTGGAAAGAGCACTCGATGGTCGCATACCTACTTCTATTTTGCATGCATTTGTTGCGGCTACTACAGCTGCGTCTGGGGTGAGCGGCTTGGAAAGAGCACTCGATGGTCGCATACCTACTTCTATTTTGCATGCATTTGTTGCGACTACTACAGCTGCGTCTGGGGTGAGCGGCTTGGAAAGAGCACTCGATGGTCGCATAACTACTTTTATTTTACATGCANGTCTGGGGTGAGCGGCTTGGAAAGAGCACTCGATGGTCGCATACCTACTTTTATTTTACATGCATTTGTTGCGGCTACAACGGCTGCGTCTGTCTGGGGCTTCGTAACTGTTGCACTAGATGTTCCCATATTTGAGCACGTTGGCAAGTCACTTAGAATATGTATCGCTTTTTGGTTTTCCTCTTCCAGCCTCTTCAGCTGCTGCTGAGCGGTTGTGTATATACATGGAATGGCGCCGGGCGGCAAGCATCTTCTGGTTTGTAGTCCTTTAAAAGAAAATATGTTCATATGTATGTATTATAACAAAAATGTTGAAACTAAGAATAGTGGACAATTCTTACCCAATTCGAAAGCTAACTTTCCTGTAATATGTTCGTCTTTAAAATGGTCCATACAAATTCCCCACGTTTTTGGTTTAAAAACTTTAGATCGCCGGCAAAACTTCAACCATTTCTCTCGCTGTTTCGGATCCTTTGGGAAACGAAAAAAAGATCTTTTTTCAGATGGGTANAATTGCTTTTTCTTAAAATTTCATACCTTTTACTTCAATTTTGTTTGAATAAATTGAGTAAAAGATCTGAAATTTTAAGAAAAAGCAATTGCTTATTTTTATTCATACGGCCCAATATATGAACGTTGTTCACCATCTTTTGTTTTGAATTAGGAAAATTTTCGATAAAGAAAATACCCGATATTTTTGTAAAACTATCGATAGTGAAAAAAAAACCAATGATAGTATCGATAGTGCCATCTCTAATTTAGTATTTATAATCGGAACCATTCTCAATTTCTACAAAACTTTCGGTGATATCAGTTAGTTAAATACTATAAATCGTGTTAGCATTATGTCAACTACACATAGACAACGTTATAAAAATGCTGCATTGGATTCGTCTGAAATGCGCCGAAGACGTGAAGAGGAAGGAGTCCAAATCAGAAAACAGAAACGAGAACAACAATTAATAAAAAGACGCAATGTTGTTTTGGATATACCCCAATCTGATTTGGATATTGGAGCTGAAGTAATTTTTCCTATTTATATAAAAACCTTCAGAAGTTACCTTTTTTTTTTCAAAGGAGATTGAAGTGAATCGCAATTCCGACCACTTTTCGGAAGAACAAATGAATCACAAAAATCAACTAACAATTTCGAGGACACTTTCCGATCAAAATAAGCCGGCGATTAATATTATAAAAACACAGATGATAGAACTATTGTTTAGTGAGAATGAAACAGAGCAACTAGAAGCCACTCAAAAGTTCCGCAAGCTATTATCTCGCGATCCAAATCCGCCGATAGAAGAAGTCATCCAAAAAGGGATAGTTCCTCGATTTGTATTCTTTCTCAAGAATAATTCAAACGCATCGTTGCAAGTAATTTGTATTTTTAAATAATCTAAATAAATACAAGCAACAACTGTAGATTTATCTGGTTCCAATTGTATACAAGTGTTCAAAAGCAATTTTCTCTTTTTTTAGTTCGAAGCTGCTTGGACATTGACTAATATTGCCTCAGGGACGTCACAGCAAACTAAAATTGTAATTGATGCGGGCGCCGTTCCCGTTTTCATTGACCTATTATCGAGTAATAATGACGATGTTCAAGAACAAGCAGTTTGGGCTCTGGGAAATATAGCTGGTGATTCGCCAAGTTGTCGTGACTACCTACTGAACTCGGGAATACTTCAACCATTGTTACAGTAAGTTTAATTTGTAGTCAACAGAAAAATTATTCGAGTAGATTAATGGGATGTTTTTGGTTGAGCGTAAAAGCGCATTTAGCTCTAAATGCTACTCTAAATGTACATTTATCCATACAAAAGTTCGTCAACGGCATTTAAGTTTAGTTGGGGATTGCTGCTTAAATGCCATTTAGCCAATATTAGCCATTTAATTGCAGATTAAATGTATGATCTGAAAATGAATAGTGGAAGTTAACCAACAATCTCTACTTAAGTAGGTCATCTGAAATTGGGCCAAAGGGCATGAGGAACATAACCTTGGAGGGGTGTCGTGGTTAGCGTCGCCAGCGAAGTGAAGTATCTAGGACTAATCAGAACTTTGTCTGCCTCGGGAGACCCGCACTACAATAGCCGAACTTCGCTCTGGCTATTGCAGCAGGCTCAACAGCTACCAGAATCAACGAGGATGTGCCCAACCAATGAACGACATGTGGAGAGTCGCCACATGACTCCCGGCACCTCTTCACATGCCCTGAGAACCCCACTCAGCTAACGCCCCTGTCGCTATGGACAGCTCCTTTGGAAGTAGCACACTTCCTGGGCCTCCCCCAAGCTGAAATGGACGACAACGTTGATGGATGAACCGTCCCGAACGGGGCTTAGTAGCCGCTACAACAACAACAACAGCAATCTAGGACTAATCCTAGACACCAAACTTCTATGGAAGAAACATGTGGACGCGATCACTTCCAGGGCTACGAAAATTTTAACCCTAGAAAACTAACGGTCGCCTGTGAGGCGGAACGAATTCGGGTTTCTCGCGATATTTTAGGAACGATTTTAATAATCAAAGTAAGCGTTCACGCAAATTCAGTTTAGAGCTGTTGNCTTAGTAGCCGCTACAACAACAACAACAGCAATCTAGGACTAATCCTAGATACCAAACTTCTATGGAAGAAACATGTGGACGCGATCACTTCCAGGGCTACGAAAATTTTAACCCTAGAAAACTAACGTTCGCCTGTGAGGCGGAACGAATTCGGGTTTCTCGCGATATTTCAGGAACGATTTTAATAATCAAAGTAAGCGTTCACGCAAATTCAGTTTAGAGCTGTTCGAGGTTGTTAGCTGGCGCATATTGTACAGTAGCCTTGCGCGGATGACTTCCACGCTCTCTTAACGCCTGACAGGCGAACGTGCTGTACTTATTTCAGTTTTTAACATGTTTGTTGGCTATTTTCTGTCCTCGCCTCCCTCCTCTTCCGCAGCCTTTGGTTGTTGTTGTTGTTGTAGCGGCTACAAACACCCCGCCCAGATCGGTTGATGTCTCAGTCGTCGTCGTCGAGTTCCACTAACGGCAGTCCCAAGAATCTTGCAGCCTCTATGGGGTCAGTCCACAGGGGCAACGCCGTAAGGGTTGTAGGGTTTTCCGGGCATGCGAAGAGATGATTCGAGTGGTGAGGGATCTCTCCGCATGTCGGACATTCAATCGGCACATCCGCATTTAGCCTACTCAGGTAAGAGTTCAGCCTGCTGCGGGAGCCAGAGCGAAGTTGGGCTATTGTTGTTATCTCCCGAGGCAGATGGAGCTCCGTCGCCACTATGTCCGGTGTTTGTGTGCGTAGAACGGCATTCACAGGTCTAGAGTCTACATAACTCGAGACTGAGTCCCTGTGAATGCCGTTCAGGGCCTGTCGGTATGCTGACGGGTCCAGAGGCTGCTTAATGAACCTCTGGTCTTCGCCCGTCAGTTCATATAGATGCCTCCTGACGTGTCTAGGGGGGGCTCCTCTGCAAGCAGCTGTCTGTTTGGGTGGCCCAATCTGTGGCTCCCAACCAGAAACTGCTTGCAGAGCATTTCGCCTCGTCATGGAGGTGGTGTTCGGGTGACATCAGGAGGCATTCGGTCGTTGTCCTGAGTGCGGTGTTCTGTGCTGTCTGTAACTTCATCCACTGCGTCCTACTAGTCCCAGGCGACCACACCGGCCGGCCTATTGCCTTATATCGCCTTTGACCGCCAGGGCCACATGATAACAAAACTGAACCTGTAGTTCAGCTTGTAGCCCACCCTTCGGACATTGCTGAATAAGTCCTCATCGATGCCAACGTTTAAACGCAGGCTATGCTACTCGAGATGACGCGTCACGCTGGGGTGTTGAGACCACCGTTTTGAGCCCTTAACAGTCCCAACGCGTAGTTTGACGATTTGTCAGCACTTTTCGGCAGGAAGATGGTCATGTTGTGCATGGGTGGCATGTCATCTCCCCGTTTCACGCACAGCAGGGTCCCCTTCCATCTTTCTAGCACATTTTTCGTTTCATCGAGTTTCAAATCACTTCCGTCGCTAAAGAAGTTTTAACTTTAAAAATTTTTCTCGCCCTCCCGTATGCCCTCCCATATGGATCTCAGGCACTCCAGTAAAATATTACAAATTTACAAAAACAAATATAGGTTGGAAACATGGTGTAATAATAACAAGGTGTTGTCAGTAACTTA